TGAAAAAAACTTCAGGCCACTTTGAAAAAGAATCAATGACTACAAGTGCATAGTATTTGCCAAGAAACGGGCCACAATAGTCTGCATGAATTCTCTGCCAGGCTTCCGACGATACTGGCCATGGAGTCCACTTCGAATGCTGATTTTTCAGCTTATGACACTTTACACAATTGTTTGCTGTACGACAAATATCTGCATTTATCTCTGGCCACTAACACGTAAGCCTCGCCAAGGACTTCATTTTCTCAACACCTAAATGTCCACTATGAAGATCTTCCAGGACAGCTTTACGCAATGAGGGAGGAATAACAACCCGATCATTTAAGCACAAAATACCATCAGGAGTAGTGGATAGCTCATCTCGCTTTGAAAAATAGATAGGGAATCTGCGTTTCAGATTAGCATTCCAACCTTTCCGTATAGCATGAATTATACATCCAAAGTTTCTACGAGTTTCTCTAATGAGATCTGGACGTTTCACTGGTAAAGGTTGCACCAACAAACAGTCTGAAGTATTAACAGGTTTATCTTGTAATGACTGTCGAGAAATGTAGTCAACATGTTGAATTTGTTTGGCACTCCTGTGCTGAACCGTATAGTCGTAGGCACTCAAAGCAATACTCCATCGTTGAACCATAGCAGCTGAGGCACGTGCTAAGGATTTTTCAGGATGATAAATAAACTGCAAAGCCTCATGATCAGTAACAATAGTAAATTTCTTTCCGAATAAATATTTATGAAGTCTTTTAACAGCCCAAAACACAGCTAATGCCTCTCGCTGAGTCTGTGAATAGCCTTGTTCAGTAACAGTAAGTTTGCGTGAAACACAAATAACTGGTCTACCTTCCTGTTCCAAAACTGCACCAATACCCACAGGTGATGCATCAGTGATAAGCACAGACTGTACGCTTCTTTTCCGATGAATGTTAGGAAATGAGCCACAATTTTATCATCTTTGACATCTTTCCTGGTCATACTCCAGATTTCAAACCTTTCCAAATAATCTTCAAAAGCTTCAGAAGTAGAATGAATATCTAGCTGTTCCATTACAAATCCTGCTCGCGACGCCACTGTGATGCTTAGAAGTATATGAATCAAGAATTAAAGAACTGCACCAACGAATGTATTGTATTTAGAATTCGAAATCAAGCATTTCACAACAACAAGAAGTTACTAGTTCATTCAAACACCACAATAAGGCTGTTACGTCGAAGGATATCATCGTTTTGTCGTCGATTTGAATCTCCTTGTGTTTATCTAAGAATTTTGTGGAAGACTTAATACAGTGGTTAGATGATTACACCAGATGTTTCAATATCTTTGAATGTTGGGGTTCCTGGGTGGGGTACAATTAGACACGGTGCAATGTTGTGTTTGTGTAGTTTCGGCCTAGCGTAGAACTATGGAATTACTGGTCCATCGGATTTCATTCTCTATTGATCATGTTTTGATATATGTCCTGCTTCGAAAAGCTTGTTTAGAGTCCTTGAGATTTTGTTGTCCAACTTTTTACTGGGTTTGTGTCTATCGGTTTAGATACACTTCTATCCTCAATTAGTTCTTCAGCTCTCCTGATGTATTCTTCCTTGTCCATAATTACTGTGATGCGTCCTTTGTCCGCTTGAACTGTGACTATATCTTCCCTGGTTCTGAGTTCCTTCAAGGCTTTTTCTTGTTATGCTGTTAGTTGGTTGCTGTCTCTCTTCCGTCGTGATAGTGGTACTATGGTTTGTTTTATTTCCTGTCGAGTTTCTTCACGTATTCCGGCCGTTTTGAATGATGACTCTAGTGCAGCGAAGAATTCGAGTTTCGAAGCGTTCTTTATTTTATAGTCTAATCGTTTCTGGAGGAATTGTTAGGTGTTGTTTCGAAAGGTTGGCCACACAATTGTTTGAGTTTTCTTCTATGGCTGGTTTTGAAATCTTGATTCGTTTATCTTTGAGGGTGTTTCTTCTTCATTCTCTGTGTGGTATGCTTGACATCTCGATTGCCGTTGTTAGTGTTCTGATGTGAGTAGCGCACTTTAAGTGAATCTTGAATCGCCAAGACCCACTAAACCCACCTAATATCGAATCAGCTCGAGCAAAAATTCAAGTTCAGTCGGATCCCCTCGTGTAATATAATCGGGGAGAAAAGTCATTAATTGATTACTTCTAACTGGAACACCAAGCAATTCAGCATCCAAACAACCTGGATTGGAAATGCAGGTGTCGTTAGACTTCTCGATGGCAGTTGCGACTCATATTTTACTTCAAGATTCAAAGTCCATAGACGCATAAAGAACTGCAGAGGGATTTATCAAGTGTTTATTCATTTCTTGTTCTAAAACGATGAGTCTGTTATTCGCTATAACATTGAGAGATTTCGTCTTTTGATTAACCGCAGTGACACGGCCATGTGATCTTGTCGTTTCTCGTTTTTTATACCACGTTGACAAGGGGTTAGATCTGAAGTAACCTTTTTGTCTTTATACGGGATTGATGAGCTAACATTTTTGCTCAAAACAGTAAGTTGTTTGGCGTTGTGACAGCAGCCGAATATGAAAGAAATGGGGCTTGTTGATTTATTGGATTTTTTCTCAAAGGCATGACTCGACAACTGACGTTTGCATACACTGTAATGGAGATCAAGTCGAGATTGACCATGATCACCACTACAGCAATTACGAGTTCGTCACACAGTAGAAAGGTTATTTCATAGTAGAGTGGATTTACTACAACCCCATGCTCGAGGACAGGTATCCCTAAGCTTAGTCGGGGATGTGTGCTTAGGTAGATATTACTCCTTTCGTAACTTCCTCAGCTGCAAACTCTCGGATGCATTCAGCTCTAGTTAGTTTCTTGAGGTTTCTGTCATTACTCAAGGCCCATATGTGTGTGAGGGGTGCTAAATAGTTAAGCTTATCGTTAATTTGGGCAAGCAGGTTTTGTCATCATCGCATATCCCTGCCGTGATGATAACTATTATCATCGATATCGGATGGATCATTCCACGCCTTGGTTTGTGAAATTTTAGATTTCGGCTTAACGAGATTATACTGATATTGGACTTCTGCTGAATTTTCAGTACACGTTGATATAGTACCTTTTATATCTACAATTTTCACTGTTGGTATACCGAACAAATAGATGGAAGGATTGTCATACGGAGTATTAGCTAAAGGTGGTGAAATTTGTGGATACGAGGTGCAAGGTTCACAAGATCAAAGTGTAACTCTTTCAATCACGGGCTTCATAGTTTCTATAGATTTCGATCTTTCTGGCGGTCTAGAAGTTGGTAACATTATTCTTTTACTCAAGTTATTGGTCGCAATTGATAACTGAGTGCGATGGTTATTTGACTAATTAGAACAGATATATCAGGGTGTATCTTGTTGTATACTAACTGAGTTAACACTAAAGTCAGTGTTGGCAAGTTGGGATATTATGGATTAGGTGTTCAGTTATTAAGTGTAAGAACTGGTATCAGTAGATCGGTACGTTTAGACTAATATATTCAGAATTTAAGAAGGCTGTCCTCAATTTCGATAATATAGGCTGAGGAATCAGCTAAGGTAAAATACACCATTTTCCATTTGTGTATCGTTATACATCCATATTCAATATGTATTGCTTATTTGTATCAATTCACACATACTCAGATACTGCCTGTTCCTTTTTATTGACCTCAACCTTAGATCATTTACGCTAAAAAAATTAGTGCAGGTGATCGTAATGTGCGTAGTTTTGAAGGATACGCCTTATACATCAATCATGATTCTTTTACTTTCGTGTTGTCCAATAATAACCATTAGTATGTAGTTCCTTTTAATCCCACATTCGGCAGTTTCTTAATATCATCAATGATGATTTGCCATTTGGATATATCTATTATAGACTCTGAGTTGATTTTGTGTAGATATGTAATCATACGCTCATTTTACCCTTGAATGCAATGCTATCTTTCTCGATACTTTCATTTGCTTCGTCCGTCAATAATTCGGCACCACTGTTCTCCTACAGATGTTATCATTATTCAGGCTCGTTATGGATTGCGTCGAATGTTTCAATTACGCTCCTCGTTCGGAAGCCGCTATACAGATTCTTTTACCTCAGGTTTACTCAAATACACCACCGGTGAATATGAAAATCGTCTTTATTTTTGCATACGTTATTTCAGTTGTGACGCAGATTTGTTTCTGTTTTTACTTCTTAAATCTAGTTCGGTTTGGTTGTCATCCGATAGACTTATTTTGTTGATACTTAATTCACTTACAATTTTTAATCCTATTGTTTTGGGTGAATAGCTTTGTCAGCCATGCATCGGGTTGTAGTTATTCACTCAAATCTATTGACTCAGTAACATTCATTGTCTTTATGACAGTATAGTAGACCTACCATTGTTTCGTACATTCATTTGATAAAGACTCATGCTCCATTATGATCGTATTCACTGTAAAATCTTTCAGCTGAACTATCTGCGATATCAGATAGCAAATGCTAAGCGATTTAGAAAACTGTTGAGTTGATGATTTACCATGTTGTAGCCTTGGTGTCTCTTATCAAAAGTGTTCACCGCAGGTCTTGTGACTTATTTATTTAGGTGATCCGTTGGTCAAATAGATTGTTAACAGTATGTACCATAAATGTTAAGTTATGAACTCGCTTAATATAATGATGAAACGACAGCAAATAAAGTTTTCACACAATTAGTTAACCTTTACATATGAACTACTTCTCTCATAGTAGACATGAGAAGTTAAGAGTATGCTCAAGTAGTAAGAGCTTTCGTATTTATAATGGATACTAGTGGAGACAGTTACTAGAAACTAACATCTTTCAGAAGACTCCTAAAGTTGTTGTGTATTCCGAATTTATTGAATTTTTGCCATGTTACAAATAAGAAAAAGAAAACCACACATTGTCGTTTTCACAATACAATTCTAAATGTTGTCAACAAAATATTCAGTGCCCAAATAGTGTTAGTCATTAACCGGGTAACGACGCTGTGATTTTATCTTCCTAATGCAAGGTGCTTCCTGTACAATTCCACCTGTATTGATCCAACAATTTTGCTTGGTGCTCCGAACTAACAGGGTGATAATTCGCCAACGTGAGATTCAGTTCAGCTCGTCCTGATGAAAGACGTCTTACAGTAGCTGAGTAGTTAGTTAATTCAGACAATGGTGCTATCGCACGTACACAGTGACATCTTTCAACTTCCGGTTTGTTATCGTCCTGGTTGAGTGCATCAACTTCTGCATTGTCTACTGATATTATTTCTGCACGCCTGTTCGTCAAGTCGCACAGAAAGATTGATAAGTCTGAATCATAACCTAAATTAGTTTAAAAAGAAAGTGTTTTCAAATCATATAAACAAGAGTTTCGATACGGAACATCAGGTAAGTATTTTCATAATGAGATCTAAAAGGATAAAGCTATAATAGTAATGTTGATTGGACTTAAAATTAGAGGACACGCAATGCAAAACCGTGAATTATTTTTGGACAGCAACCGAAGCCACGAGAAATTTCGTATCAAAACGTCTGCAGTTCTCGTTGGCGTGTATTACTGCTTGCCATCAAACTGGACAACTGATAAATTTTCACATCGAATTTGTTTGCGCAAAGGAATAGTGAGGATAAGAAGCGTAACTATTTATATACCAACATTAAAAACTGGACATGCTATTTTATTATTCAATATGATCATGGAGACAACTACTATATATTAAAAAACGCCCTCCAGTTTTCCCATAAAGATTTATGCAAACTACACTTTTAGTACAGCCGTATCACGACTTAATCATCGATTTATTTCAACATACACAACTTAATGAACTCTCAGGATAAAGATAATAGGTCATTGTTAAGTAACACTGAGGAAGTGTCAAAAGCTAATAAAACAGAGTTGATGGGAAACGACCAAACTTCGTTAAACAAATGATTATGAACTTCATTCAATCTAGCAGTGAAATTTCTTAGAATTCTAAAATTTTCATTGTGATCATGAATCGATCAATCTTAAATCACTATTATACATGAAACATGGCCAATGAGAGTAGAAGATATTCGTAGGTTACTGGTTTTCGATCATAGGTGTCTTCGAAGCATTGCTCGTATATCGTGAACTTCATCAGTTGAGGTGGTTGGGACATGTGTTGCGTATGCCCAACCACCGACTGCCTCGACGAACTTCATTTTGTAGTGTAGGAATAGGTTGGAAGAAAGTTAGGGGCGGACAAACCAAAACATGACAGAAATCCATGAAGTCATTGACGAGTGGACTTAGCCATGTCGGTAATTGTCGACTACCTGGTTGGGGTCCGCGAGATGATAATAATCGATGGCTAGAGACCTTGAATGACATGGCTCAAAATCGTTCGCAATGGCGCCAGTGCATTTATTCTTTGTGTTCTCTCAAATCCTAATCTTCTGGATTCTTCAACACATCTAGTTTTGTCTTTCTAAGCTTATCTCACTGAATCGTACTTCTTGAATAATATCTTCTAATCCTAACCTCTCCGATTACTTCTAATACCTTTACTACCTGTTCTACTATTGGATTTGAATTGACAATTACATCTCTGTGTTGATGTGGTATGGCGACATGAACTGATGTGCTTACGTACGAAGTTCTACGTTGCATCTGACTGACTGACTGACCATTATACAACTGGAAGCACAAGACGGCCGTTTTGTTCTAATATACAACCCGTTCTCGCGTGCGAACGCTTAAACTCTAGATCATTGAGCCAACTTCAGAGAAGTCACGACATTGTGCTACCTAATACAATCTTTTTGGTGAGTAATTGCCTCACATCAGACAGGGATGAAACACTCTGGTCAATTCACAAGTTCAATAAGAATTACTTATGTTCTGATTTATAACTTAGTGAAATCCACCCATAAGTATATAAGTGACTGACTTTTTCTGCATGGATTGACAAACTAAATTTTTATCGAAGTGTGTGCTAAATGCAAATTAGACTAAATACCATGCATTCAGTAATTATCGACGGTTCTTGAAACTTCATTTATTGTTCCTGAAATATATTCATAGCTGTGCTATCATTAAATAGAACCCTAAGAGGCTTCCTTGTGGTATCTTTCTTACGTCCAGTGAGACACAAAAAATACGCGCTCATACTAGAGCATGATCTAAGTCTAAACATGTGTCCCAGAACGAGCAACAGATCCCTCTCGAACCCCATCATCAGTGGCTGATATAGATGTGATCTGGTTGGGTCCGGCGTTGAGACGACTTTGCGGGTCACCATGTTAAAGGATGTTTTTCCTTATGTTTAAAGTTAGTGTCTGCTGGACAAAGGCGGTTATCTGAGCATAGCTGCAGCAGAGGTCGCCATTATCTGTTCGATCATCCTCCACACCATTAGATCAACCTAGGTGTCTTTCTGTTGGGGATGTTAGATCCTCAAAACTCGCTTGATAAATGCCTTATTTTGGATTTCACGTTTGCCAGCATCGGCTGATCAGTTGACCTTGAGATATCATTTCCCACCAGGAAAATCCATGCCTGTGATTGGCTGCTGTGTATTTTCATATCTGTACCAACGACATTTCTATGATGTGTAAGTAAACGAGAGTTGTATGCTTGATTGTATTGTGATTGCTGAGTGTTTGTAGAATATACTTTCTACGCTCAAAAAGTCTTCTGTATTCAGCTTGGGATTCAAGGTAGCCTATCTGGACGCTGGTAATTGTCTCGTTCGCGTTTATCGACTAAGGTGATCTCGTAATAGCTTCAAGCGTACCTAGGCACGAACCCTACACTTTCCTTTTCACTTAGTCTACCTAATTGAGCATTGAAGTAACCAGCCATCATTGTTATATCAGAGCGCCTTACTTTGTGACGGAGGTCCGAAAGCTTTCTGTAAAACTCATCTTTAACCTCGTCTGAACTGCAGTCGGTGAGAGTGTGGACAGAAAGAACAAACAGGCAACGGCGAGTGTCCCCATCTTTCCGAGTCATTAGTGTCCCGTTCAGTTGGACAGCACAAAAGCGACTATTTACTGGGATCTAGTCTAGGAGAGCTAGCTCTTCCCTAGGACTCCACCATCGAGACCTCGGGAAGCATCATAAGGGCTTCCGGATACACGAAGAGTAAATCGAGTTTGTTCTCTATGTGGCCAATGTAAAACCAACTTAATAATTTTGCTCAGATCCTGTATGCGCGTTTCCGAGACGCAGCATACATTGATGGCGCGAGATTCTCAAGTCCTAGCTGAGGGAGCCTGTTGCCCTACTTGACACAATGTCTGGTTTCGAACGGCGTTTAAGGAGACCAGGAATAACGTTTCGCGAACTCGAATCGTTTGCATTAGCAGTGAGTGGAAATAAATGAAGGCGAGAAGGGTTAGTTTCGGAGATAAGAGAGAGGATTAGATTGGGAGCAATTTGTTCACATGTTCTTACGAGTAGGAGGGCGGTTGTCACTTCCTAGCTGCCTACACCGTGGAAGGGTGTTTCTTGAAGAACCTTAAAAGGAATGTAGATTAGTGTTGGTGTTTGAAACCTGGGAGCGTAACCGTAGATCCCAAAGGATAACTGCTTCAGGCCGGTCACGCGCTGCCTTTTTACAAGTTTAGGAAGTGTTAGTTACGCTCTTCAAGTGACCTTACTGCAAGAGACGGAAATCTATGAGGTATGGTGAGGTGTAACATTTGTACAGTTGACCTTTCCTTCAAATGTGAGAAAGTGGTATCGCTATAGACGCTGGCTGTCCGAGGGAAACACACCTTACTGCTATCACACCCCTCTACAGTCAGCAATACGACTTCGCTCTCAAACCTTGAGTAGCTGCGTTTAGTCTCATCGTTAACCAATCTACCTGTCTAGCGTAGTAGAACCTACAGGAACATATGTTACAGTCAATAGAGCTCGACTGCGTCATCACGATAGGCGAACCCGAATACCACATAAAGGAAGTATAAGATGGAGCATAGAAAAGGAAAATCAACAATATGGTCCAGGACACAAAGATATTAAAACTTGATAGAATGGTCATTTAGAATTGAGGTCAACAGATTTATATTGTGTAATAACTGCAGCATAATTAAAAAATTGACTTCTAGGTTAAAACTCGATAATAACAGTCAGAACATCAGAGAAAACCCCGTAGCTAAACTACACAAATTAGAGAACACAACATTACTAAATGTATCCACCTGAATTAAAAATCTTATCCGTTATACCTTCAAGTCGAAATACAAACTAAGGACATAAAATATTTACCAGAAATTACCTTTTCGAGCAGGCAGTTGTAGTTCAATTTCCATCATCGGCTCCATAATATGCCATTTAGGTATTCTGGTAACGGCATCTTTAACGCTATTTATGCAACAAGTTTTTAACAAGGCTAAAAGAGATGATGAAGCAAGTTGAGCAGTGGATAGTTTATCCAAAGTCAAGTCACCAAGATCATTTATACATTCCAAGCCATTTGAAATTTGTTCTGGACGGCCGCACACAATACTATGAATGTGAACATCTACTCCAATAACAGGGAAACGAAGAATAGGTCCACTAATCTCTAAGGCAGACAAACAGGCGTCTGTAATAGCATGGCGTACACGGGCGATGTTATTATCTCCATTTCGGTCAAATGTGACCTTTCAATACACAAGTGAGATATTAAGAAAAATAAGAAAAAAAATGAAAAAATGAACAAAATTATATACTAACAGTAGACCAATGTACATTTATAATAATATTACAGTTTAGCGTAATAGATGCGGATGACAGGAGATCATAGTGAAAGTTTCTTTTGATGCATTTAATTTACAATGATGGCGTTTTGATGTTCAAATGAAAGGCCTGAGACGTATATCCAGAGTGTTGTTATGGAACTGACGTCAAATTTTTATCACCCAACGGCGGGATTTAATGTAAATAATTCACTAACGACATTGTTATTGCTGAAAACTCTAATTAGAACAGCAAACGCAGAGCTCGATCAAACCTTTTATTACTTTGATCTGTGATTTATAGAATTATTTAAGTGAGTTCCAAGAGCGTAGATGCTAAAAAATACTGAATCGCATTCGAAAACTTTCTTATCAAGCAAATTTACGTTTAAATGACCTGTATTCTTGATTGATTGGAATAAATAATGAGTCAAAATAAAGCTTACAATGATAATCACATAAAACAGCCACTTGATTACAAGTAAACATAGAAGCAAGTCTTTCGGAAATTAGATATCCAAACTGCAAACTTCGTTATTTGTTAGCGAATGCATTTAAAGAATATATGACGAGTTTCAGTTTCTTCAAAAATTTGATAGTTGATACGATAATGTTATTCATTCCATACATTTTGGGATTATGTATTGATTTATTCAAATACTAGTGTCAGGTCAAACAAAAACTTTCACTGATAGTATTGGTAATCATGCTCTTGGTCCTAAAATTGATGACGAATCAACAATATCATCAACAAATACCAGATTGTCCATAAAAGACAAAACATTGATTTGCAAAGGAATACATACTAGTCTATAACTGAAACAAGAATATATAGGTATGTGTTGCGGACGGTAGATCCCCAGAACTCATTTGATAAAGAAAGGTCCTACTTTTGGATTTCATGCTTTCGAGCATGGGGTGATCAGTTGGCCTTGAGATTACATTTCCCACCCGGAAAATCCTCGACTGCCACTGGTTGATGTGTGTACGCCATTTCTGTGGCTCTCCCAAGGACGTTTCTATCATGTATAAATAAACTCAATGTGTGTGCTTGTCAACCTCGTATTTCATGGGTGTTTGTAGAATTCACTTTCTACGCCATATCAAGACTTCTTCATTTACTTAGTAGGGCCTTGGGACGCTCGGATTAGAGTAGCTTATTGTGTCATTGGATCATTTATCTTCGCTCTCGTAAAATATGCGTAGATAAAAATGCGATCAGTAGATCCTATCTTTAAAATATTAGCAGTTGAAGTACAATCCGTAGGTGAGTAGTGTTGATGTTAGTCAAGAAGAGTAAGTAGGACTGATTTAGTTAACAACATGTATTAGATGAGGAGACCGAGCCATAGACATCAATAACGTTATCAGCTAGTTGGTTAGTAGTCATCAGATAAAGTGAAAAACGATTAAAGAACCAGACCAAAATCATTATCACAAGTTTAAATCGAAAAGATCTATTACTGCTACAAATTCAGACAGACAGTTCCACTCTTCTTCCAGTTGGATTTCATATGCAGAGTAATTTATAAATTTGATGTGTTGTAAACAATTAGAATTTCTACTATGATTTGTGTACAAGTTTTTACCTGTGGTTTGTGAAACGGAGGCATACTTTTAGGTCTAAGTATCAATTCAATGGCAACAGCTTTTTCAGCACCATTTATGTATCCAACCACATAGCTCCATCCTTTTGCACTGGAAGCATCTTGAGGTGGACATTCTTTGTAGGCTATCAAAAGCGGACCCGTTCGAACATTAACTTTGTATTCACGTTTTAACCTTGAAAGTATAACATCCAAATGTAAATCACCCATTCCAGAAATTGTCCATTGCCCAGTTTCTTCGTCAAACTTCACCTATAGAATAATGTCAGTGAAGTAAATGTTTATTGAAATAAACGCAAAACAAGAAAAATTGCGAAGATACTTCATTTAAAACCAATTTCAAACATACACCTATTGAATGATATTCCATGAACAGGCGATATAAAGTACCTTGATTGACAGATAGATGTACCTTTCAAAGTTAAGACATAAGCAAAACAAGCGAAGATCACTAAACAGCAATATCTTAAAGAATCATCCGACACAAAAAAGAGAATATAAGAAAAATTATTGTATCACAATAAGATGAATTCATTTGGTTTGGTGGATTCGCCTCATCTGCCAACAACCCAAGACCATAGTATTAATCATTAAAATGAAACAAGAGTACCTACTTTACATGGAAAATATCATCAATAACTTGAGTTAAAAATGTAAAAATAGAATAATCTTCAAAGATCATATGATATGGAAGAATTAAAATTGTTCAAAAGTTCACTAATTTATAAGTGGCATATCTGAATATTTTCGAAGAGCATGTAAACCAAAAACATTTTCGAGCAAAACATTTTCTGAGCAAAGCTCAGAAGTAAGAATAAAGGTCTTAAAAATTTCATCAAATTTTATGAAAAAAAAGAAGCAATCTTAATAAAAAATTAGATTGAAGAAAGTTTTATTTTAGATAGATAAATTCGTTTTAAATCTATTTATTAGAACAGTTTCAACAACGCGTGAAAATTTCGAATTTCTTTGTTGACGGATTATTTTAAGATTTAGAGACTTCGATATCTTGACCACTGTCGTCGAACAGATGATCAGCAACTGCTCTGTTGGAAATCTTCTGTCAATTACGTTTTAACTTTTCAGGAATATGTTCAGAGATGCGTGCAAAAACACTCCTTTGTGTTTTTTAACGTGTGCGCTTATGTTTACTCACTTACTTACTTACGCCTGTTACTCCCAATGGAGCATAGGCCGCCCACCAGTTTCTTCCAACCAACTCTGTCCTGGACTTCCCTTACCAGTTCTGTCCAGTGTTTGTTCATTCCTCTCATTTCTTTCTCTATTTCTCGTCGTAATGTGTTCCTTGGCCTCCCTCTTTTCTTTTTGCCTTGAGGGTTCCATGTGAGGGCTTGTCTCGTGACGCAGTTAGGTGCTTTTCGTAGTGTGTGTCCTATCCACTTCAACCGCTTCTTCCTCATTTCCTCCTCCACTGGAATCTGGTTTGTTCTCTCCCACAGTAGGTTGTTGCAGATGGTGTATGGCCAACGGATCCGAAGTATATTGCTTAGACAACTGGTAATAAACTCTTGTATCTTCTAGACGATGGCTTTGGCAGTTCTCCAAGTTTCATCTCCATACAGTAGAACTGTCTTGACATTTGCATTGAAAATTCTGACTTTGGCGTATATTGATAGTTGTCTTGAGTTCTAGATGTTGTTCCATTGTAGAAATGCAGCCCTTGCTTTGACGATACGCGCCTTCATGTCTGCATCAGATCCACCTTGCTCGTGAATAATGCTTCCCAGATATATAAAGCATGTTACGTCCTCCAAGGCATATCTCCATCAAGAGTGATTCGGTTGGGCAGATTGTGTTGTATCGGAGAATCATGCTTTACCCTTTGTGCATGTTGAGACCTGTAGCTGCTGCTACACTGGTCGTCTTCTCTTGCATTTGTTGTTGCGTGTGCGATAGAAGAGCCAGGTCATCCGCGAAGTCCAGCTGCGTCCTAGTTGTCCAGTTGATATCGTGCTTCTCTCCAGATGTCGACGTCTTCATAGTCCAGTCGATGACCAGGAGAAAGAGAAAGGGTGAGAGTAAGCAACCTTGCCTGACACCGGTCTTCACCTCAAAAGAGTCTGTCAGCTGACCTCCGTGTACGATTTTGCAGTTGAATCCATCATAAGAATTCCGTATGATGTTGACTATTTTCTCAGGCACACCGTAGTGTCGAAGAAGCCTCCACAGTGTTTTCCTATCCACGCTATCGAATGCTTTCTCGTAGTCGATGAAGTTGATGTAGAGTGGTGAGTTCCATTCAATTGATTGTTCCACAATGATCCGTAATGTAGCAATTTGGTCAGTACACGATCGATCCTTACGAAATCCAGCCTGTTGATCTCGAAGTTGGGCGTCTACGAAGTCCTTCATTCTGTTTAACAATACTCTGTTGAAGACTTTGCCTGGTATTGAAAGAAGAGTGATGCCTCTGTAGTTTTCACACTTGCTGAGATCGCCTTTCTTTGGTATTTTGATGAGGTATCCTTCATTCCAATCTGATGGTACTTGTTCCTCATCCCAAATCTTCTTGAAGAGAATGTGAAATATTTTCGCAGTTGCTTCCACATCTGCTTTCATTGCCTCTTCTGGAATGTTGTCTGGTCCTGCTGCTTTGCCGCTCTTGATTTGTCTGATGGCTATACTGATCTCCTCAATCGTAGGTGCGCCAATATTAATTGGGAGGTCCGTGGATGCTGCTTCGATGTTTGGTGGGTTCAGTGGAGCTGGTCGATTCAATAGTTCCTTAAAGTGCTCCACCCACCTATTTCGCTGTTCGTCAGTGTTGCTGATTATTTTCCCTTCCTTGCTTTTCACTGGTCGTTCTGGTTTACGATAGTTTCCGGCGAGCTTCTTTGTAGTTTCGTACAATTGTCTCAAGTTTCCTTCTCTTGCAGCCTTTTCCGCCGTCATTGCTAGATAATCCACATATTTTCGTTTGTCAGCTCTGATGCTCTTCTTCACTTCCCTGTTTGCTTCTGTATACTCGGCTTGCGCCTTAACTTTCTCTGCTCTTGTTCGGCAGACATTGATAGCTGCCTTCTTGTTCCTCCTTTCTTGAATTTTTTCAAGAGTACCAACAGAGATCCATTCCTTGTGATGGTGCTTCTTGCGACCAAGGACCTCCTGACATGTTGAAGTGATTGCCTCCTTAATCCCTTTCCAATTGTTCTCCAATGTTGCTTCCTCTCCATTGAGTAGATCATGAAAAGCCTGGAACCTATTGGTGAGGGCTATCTTGAATTCGTTGAGTTTTACGGTATCCCGAAGAAAGGCCGTATTAAACTTCTGTGATGTTGTCTGCCACGTTTTCCAGTGCTTCTTTAGCTTCAATCTCATTTTGGCGATCAGCAAGTGGTGATCTGAAGCTATATCAGCTCCTCTCTTGGTTCTCACATCCTCCATGGTCCTTCTGAACTTTTTGTTGATACAGATATGGTCAATTTGGTTTTGAGTAGTGTGGTCCGGTGAAATCCATGTGGCTTTGTGAATGCGTTTGTGCGGGAATATTGTGCCACCGATGACCAGTTTGTTGAAGGCACATAGGTTTGCAAATCTCTCACCGTTTTCGTTCCTTTCTCCCAGTCCATGTCGTCCCATGATGTCTTCATATCCAGTGTTGTCCATTCCAACCTTGGCATTCAGGTCTCCCATAAGAATCGTCAAATCCTTTGGTGAACATTTATCGACGACTGACTGCAGCCTTTCGTAGAATTGATCTTTAACGTCGTCATTGTAGTCATTGGTAGGTGCATAACATTGGATGACGTTCATTGTAATGTCCTGTTTCTTTGTTTTGAAGGATGCTTTAATGATCCTGGGTCCATGAGATTAT